AAATCAAAACAGATTTTCCTTTTTTTTCTTTTGTACTCGGGATTTAATGCAGGGCCTTGTATGTGCTAGGAAATCATTCCACCACTGAACTATACCCCTAGATCCCACTCTCTTTTTTGAGACAAGATCTTGCTAAATTGGCCAGGCTTAGTGTCAAACTTTTGATCCTCCTGCCTTGTCTCCCAAATAGCTGGCACTACAGGCACATGTCATCATGCCCAGCTTTTAGCAGAGAATTTTTACATATTTCACATACTCCTACTTATCTCTGAGAAGGAGCATGCCTTGCTTATGAACAGCCTATTAATGACATCTTCCTTCTTTGAAAAGGAAGTTCTATAGTTCTGTCTGACTTTGGGGAATTCAGACCCTGTGAGGTGCTTTCCCATGGTTCCTCCAAGGTAGGAAGCTGACCTAGTTTGGGAGGTGGGGGATTGCTTCAGTGGAGAAACGATATTTTAATTGAAATGTAAGTAGTGAGCACAATTGATCCAGAAGAAGGGAGGAACGAGGCAAGGCAGCAGTATACTGACGGTCTTGGGACATTATAGCTGGGCATGGTGCCATATACCTTATAATCCCAGTACTCAAGAGGCTAAGATAGGAGGATCATGAATTCAAGGCCAGTCTGAAATACATAATGACACCTTGTCTCAAAAACAGTCTTGGGACCTTATAGCTGGGCATGGTGTCATATACCTTATAATCCCAGTACTCAGGAGGCTAAGATAGGAGGATCATGAATTCAAGGGCAGTCTGAAATACATAATGACACTTTGTCTCAAAAATGAAAAACTAAACCAAACCAAACAAAATCAAAACAATTATCATCATATACTGTTGCAAAGGCCTTAAATTATATATGAAGTGTTACACTATCAATTTAAGATAGACTGTGATTAATTAAGGATCCACATTATAATCATCAGTAGTCACTAAAAATATTAGCTAAAGCCTTTTGTGATTGCACATGCTTATAATCCCAACTACTTAGAAGGCTGAGGCAGGAGGATCACAAGTTTGAGGCAGCCAGGGAAATTTAGCAAGACCCTGTATCAAAATATTGAAAAAACAGGCCACATGTGGTGGCACACACCTCTAATCCCAGCACTCAGAAGGCTGAGGCAGGAGGATTGCCACAAATCCAAGGCCAGCCTGGAGTACATAGTTTGAGGATAGCGTGAACAAAAAGCAAGACACTGTAGAAAGAAAGAAAGAAAGAGAGGAGGAGGTGTGGCTCAGTGGTAGAGCGCCCCTGGGATTAATCCCTAGTACCAAAAGAAGAAAAAAAAAACTCAAAGAGGAGAGACTGACATACAAAAAATACTCAACTCCAAAGGCGTAACAAAGAACAAAGGGGACAAAAGAAAAACAGCAAGATAGAATTAAATCCACCCATGACATAACTATCCCAAATACTAATGGATTGATTACTCAAATTAGATGTCAGAATGTCAGCCTGAAGAGATAACTAGACCCAAATATATATTGTTTACAAGACATGAACTTTAAATGTAAAAGCACAGATTGGAAGTTAGAGGCTATAAAATTCTGTCCCATGCAAACACTAAGCATAAGAAATCTAGGATATATATAATATATATATATATTATATATATAATATATATATTATATATATAATATATATATATTATATATATAATATATATATTATATATATAATATATATATATATTATATATATCCTAGATTTCTTATGCTTAGTGTTTGCATGGGACAGAATTTTATAGCCTCTAACTTCCAATCTGTGCTTTTACATTTAAAGTTCATGTCTTGTAAACAATATATATTTGGGTCTAGTTATCTCTTCAGGCTGACATTCTGACATCTAATTTGAGTAATCAATCCATTAGTATTTGGGATAGTTATGTCATGGGTGGATTTAATTCTATCTTGCTGTTTTTCTTTTGTCCCCTTTGTTCTTTGTTACACCTTTGGAGTTGAGTATTTTTTGTATGTCAGTCTCTCCTCTTTGAGTTTTTTTTTTCTTC